CCATAGTCTGCACTGCTCGCTCTTCAGTCAATATATATTTTGAAATTTTCTATAAAACTGAGGAATGGTTCTGTTCAGATTGAAAGACGGACAATTCAATTTAAGATATTAAGCGTCATGATAATGGCTTAGGCTGAAATGCAAAATTCACAATTGATATAATTTGAAATAAAGCAAATAGTGTTTTCTTATACCGAAGAGTACAGAGTATACATGGATAGGAAAGAAATGCCGCACCAGTCTGGGAAAGTAATTAAAGTTTCGGCAACGAATATTGACAAGTTATGTAACCTAGAGTTACTTGCACGTAATTAATCTTAAAGTAAAGGAAACTGTCTCACTTTGCAATTTGTAAAAGTAAAAACAGATGAGTTCGTTATTTAGCGTGTAACGTAATAAATTGCACGGTTATTAAAATGCTTTTAAAGTAATTTTTCACATGAGTTGATTTGCAGAAAACCATGAAATTATTCCCGACTGATAACTTGCTATTTCTTTATTATTTAATTATAAAAGCTGCAATATATCAATGCACTTTTCAGTATAATATTTCATTCATGCAATTAACGTTTGAGAATAAATATGTTTTGGCTCATTCATTTTCTTCTCGCATAATTCTCATCGATGAACATGCATCGGAGCAGAACTACCTTAAAAATAAATGATTTCATGAAGAACCAACGTGATAGATCTATATGTTCCATTGATTAGTTTCATTTAGAGTAAAATAAAGTTTGTTTCCCAAAATTTGACAAACAAACTAATGTATTTGCATCTAAATACATGTATTGACCTACAAATGTGAGGGTGGCAATCTGTTTATAAATAACAGAACAGGGTTTTCAGCAAAAGTTAAAATTATCGTTAGCCCACAGTCTAAGGAGCGTTATAAATGAGAAAAGCTATCCAGCTTACTTGTGGAATCGATGGTTTTACTTAGGTGCAAGCTCGTGCCTGAAATAATGCACGTGTCTGAGATCTTCCTTCACCAGTAATTTTTAATCTTCTGTCTTCGTGCGATGTTCAACACTATCAATTAGAATATAATTATAGTGAAAATAAGTTTCGGCAATGACTCCCGATATTTTAAGGAATTGACAGACATAAAATTTGAAAAAGATCCTTTTCTCGTAAAGAGCTTTTTATTTTCTTTCTTTCTTTTGTATTTGTTATTTTTTTATTCTTGCATTTTGCATTCTCCGAACAAAAGGTTGAAAGTATTTTAAAATTTCATAATTTCTTAAATATTGTAAGCTTAAAGTAATGCATCATCAAGTTATCTAAGTTTAAGTCTTATTCATAATTATGATTTCCTATTAGGAGGCATTTAGTACATGTTTTCTACGCTTAAACGTTTACTTTTGCAATATGGTTGAAGCTTGGAGACAACTCCTGCTTTCAAAACATTTTAGTCTTTGCATAGTTACAGTTCTTATTTATACAAACCAGTCAAAATGATGTCTTATAAATGATTAAACCAGCGAATACGTAAATAATATGTAAACTGTATTAGTATTATTACATTCTAGAATAATTTTCAAGTGCTATTTTAATAAAATGCATTATTTATAAAAGAAATCCCATTTAAGTTGATATGATTCTCAGTCTTATTTCCAGAAGTACTCAGAGGAAATATTGAAATAGTCTAGTATATTATATTGTTTAGTGACCAGGTTATTTCCAAATTCTGATAACATCGTACAATGTACTGTATATATCATTTTTAACTTTAGATAGGATCTTTGCCATAAATCTTTATTTTCAACTATAAATGTAATTACGGTAGTCGATTGAATGTATAACTTCCTTAATTAATCCTCAATGTGGATATAGTATTATATAAAGGCTTTAATTAAGAAAAACACAACAAAGTGCCCTATGCATACACTCTTTAAATGATCATTTCACTAAAATATGAGAAGTACTTTAAATTTCAGTTGATTATATTGAATAGAATATCATTTCAATAAATTGTCGGAAACACGCGATGTTATTCGGTTATCTTTAGACAATCAGAAGTATTATCAAAAATCAATACTTATATAATATCTAGAACAGAAAGCACTCAATCTAAGATACTTCAATGTATAAATAACACTTTTTAAAATCTATAAAATTTACTTTGATTAATACTGTAATTCATTTTTAAAAATGTAAAATGAGCAGTCACGTTTTTGATGTTTTAGAGACGATTCGCACACAATTTAAGGAATGCACTGTCTTGACAATAGCTCACCAACTTCATACTGTGATGGACTATGATAGGTATGACACTTTATTTCAATTTCGAAAAATCAGCGAAAAATCGGTGTACTGTTAAATGTGATTTAAATTTTTTAATAGGTTCATGTACATCAATGACATCCGAGCTCTTATTTATTTGTACTAAAATAAAGCTATATATCTTATAATTAAACCATATCTGGCTGACTAAAATTTAATAAACGCAAGGAAGAAACATTATTTCATAAGCATAGCAATGCCGAGCGTCTGCTACACCAACCCTCTCCCATATCTAATCAAGGGAAATAACCGTTGTTGGGATTTACTGATACACTACAAACTTTTCACAGCTGTTACATCCCCTATATAAAAAACTTGTTGAATAGACAATTGACGGACGTACGGCGCAAATTAATGAGAGATTTAAATAAAGACCGATTGTAGTAGATTCTTACGGTGGCACAAAGGTGACATGTGCCACGAGATACTATGTCGTGGCCACGAGTAACTAAGTCGTGGCCACGAGATAGCTAAGTCGTGGCCACGAGATACTATGTCGTGGCCACGAGTTACTAAGTCGTGGCCACGAGATAGCTAAGTCGTGGCCACGAGATACTATGTCGTGGCCACGAGATACTATGTCGTGGCCACGAGTTACTAAGTCGTGGCCACGAGATAGCTAAGTCGTGGCCACGAGATACTATGTCGTGGCCACGAGTTACTAAGTCGTGGCCACGAGATAGCTAAGTCGTGGCCACGAGATACTATGTCATGGCCACGAGTTACTAAGTCGTGGCCACGAGATAGCTAAGTCGTGGCCACGAGATACTATGTCGTGGCCACGAGTTACTAAGTCGTGGCCACGAGATAGCTAAGTCGTGGCCACGAGATACTATGTCGTGGCCACGAGTTACTAAGTCGTGGCCACGAGATAGCTAAGTCGTGGCCACGAGATACTATGTCGTGGCCACGAGTTACTAAGTCGTGGCCACGAGATAGCTAAGTCGTGGCCACGAGATACTATGTCGTGGCCACGAGATACTATGTCGTGGCCACGAGTTACTAAGTCGTGGCCACGAGATAGCTAAGTCGTGGCCACGAGATACTATGTCGTGGCCACGAGTTACTAAGTCGTGGGAACGAGATAGCTAAGTCGTGGCCACGAGATAATTAACCAATCAGAATACACTATATATATTATGAATTTTTTTAAACTTGACAACTTACTTATTAATCTTTGAAAATATTGAAGATATTCACTTTGAACTTGTCTATAAGATCATATTAGAAAGTCACCCCCCAAGGCCCATCAGACATTAATTTTTACTATAGCTCTTTGTTGGGCAAGTTTGTGATCGAATTGGTCAGTTTGTACGTGCTACGGCCTGTTAATTTTGTTTATACGATAACATGAGAAGGAATAAGTCCTGGTTATTTTTGTAAAAATCAGGGTCACAGTGACGCTAAACATGAGAAGGAATAAGTCCTGGTTAATTTTTTAAAAATCAGGGTCACAGTGACGCTAAATGTGAAATTATTGACAAGTCAAAAAGATGTATAAATGGCATTTTTTCATGCTGGTGAAAAAGAGGCATCTTTGTACTATAGCTATGTCTAGTTAATTAGGGAAATTCATATAAATGGTGTAATCTGATTGGTTATTTATCTCGTGGCCACGACTTAGCTATCTCGTGGCCACGACATAGTAACTCGTGGCCACGACATAGTATCTCGTGGCCACGACTTAGCTATCTCGTGGCCACGACTTAGTAACTCGTGGCCACGACTTAGTAACTCGTGGCCACGACATAGTATCTCGTGGCCACGACTTAGCTATCTCGTGGCCACGACTTATTAACTCGTGGCCACGACATAGTATCTCGTGGCCACGACATAGTATCTCGTGGCCACGAGATAAATAAAAACACACACATATCACCTTTGTGCCACCGTACAAATCCCTGTGATAGCGGAAAAGCGGAAAAACATAATCATACATTATATACAGAAGGTCACACCATAAATAGAGAATACCATGCTAGTGTCTGATATTATAAAATTTATCAGGCAAGGCTAAGAAAAAAAATGAAGGGCGAGGCTCTGCCGAGCTCTTCATTTTTTTTCGTGCCGAGCCTGATAAATTTTATAATATCAGACACTTGTTTGGTATTCTATTTATCATGTTTTCAATTTCAATTGTTGTTTGATTTTTTTTTATTTTAATTGAAACAAAACCCTATCCAGAACCTCTCGTGTTCAGACGGCGCGCAATAATATGTGAAATGTCAAATAAAAAAGAAATAGTCCCGAATGTTTTAGTTAATTGTAAGTGACGCGTTCATATTCAAAATTTTTATTCGATTCAAAGTTTATCAGTTAAATATTTCCAACCCAGTAGCAGGAAAAAATATTCCATTACTTTTATTTCATTTCGCAAATTTCGCATATTTTTGATATTTTGGCTTCATGTCGCCATCTTGAATTTACCGACGTATGGATTACGAACGTTGAACGAACATAATCGATAAATGAAAATTGGATATAATGTCTGGGTTAAATGGATTTATCAATTCACAAAATAAGATTACGTGTTTTATTCAATATCAAGCGTTTCATGAGACATATCAGTGTTACATTAATGAACAGGATATGAGAAAACACAAAGTAAACAAGATTTGAAAATGTCGTTGAACAGTGTTGAACAGCTGATTTCACGGAAAATGGAAATTTTAAGTTTGCCAGTTCATCGTCAAGTGTTTATATGTTTTAAAGTGAATTTACCGACTTGAATAAACATTCAGGTTGTTGACATGCAATACTGCGCCATAAAATAGCGAATTTAAGCTGTTGCTGGATAAAGCAATCTGCTGTGATGAGTGGGTGGGGTAACTGATTTGGCCAGGATTCATTTGGCCATGTGACTCCGTTGAAACTGCAGAATGAGATATGGAAATGGACTCTAATGACGTATTTGTAACAGTGCCAGTTTGATCTGTAGATGGCGATGGAGAATCTGACCGTGTAACTGTAGCTGATGGTCCAGTGGATGGATTGCGGACTGATGCCAAAAGGTTAGAGCACTCAATTTGCCTTTCTTCTGAAATTTCACTATAATTTATAATAGATTGAACATTTTTGTGTCCACTTATTGCCATAATATCTGTGGGTGCAATATTGGAATTTCTCAACTTTTGGACGAGATGCTTTCTTGCAGAGTGATTTGTGATATTCTTATCCGGGTTTAACTCGGCATCTTTAGCCATTTTTTTAAGAAGGCCTCCAAGTTTCTTCACACCAACTTTCTGGTTGAGAAACCACTGGCATTGACCATTAGGTTCACTGTTAATAGGGATTGTTCTTGGTGCAATATAAAATGGAGATTCATCAGAAAGGCATGCTGCTGGACGCTTTTCAGCGTATCTTTTGTAGATTTCAATAGGGTCCCTATCATCACCTGGAATTGAATACATTCGGGGACTGACTTTCCTTACATCACATACATTTTCGCCATTCCTGGTTTTAGTTTGGCGTTCATTGAATTCTAAATACTCTAGACCCTCTGATGTTTTGCCAAGTTTGATATCTCCCCATCTGAAAATAATATAAAATGTAATGTGTTAAGTAATTAATTTATTAAAAGAGTTATAAATATTTTATTTAGATATTTTCTAGAATTTGAAAATTTTTATTATTGTAAGAATAAACTTCAGATGCTTTGTTTAAACCAATATTTACTTTGTATGTTAAATTAAGATTAGATACAAATGGGCGGGACATGAAAATTTATTTATAAAATAAAATTTTAATGCTGCTGCAATTTTTTTTACAATTTTGGGAAAGACTCTGGTAATCCATGGGACTTTTTGATTGGAAATAGTCTGATAATAAGTGTTAATGTATTATTTGGATGGAAATAGATTTTATTGTGAAATTTCATGTTAGTAATATGTTAATATATTTCATATAAATACTGGTTTTGAAGCCTGTTGTTATTATTAAATATTTTAGTATAAATTGAAATAGATTTATTTTGCCCGTGGACTATATTTTAGCATATTAATAATATTTTTAAAATATTTCACTTTAACATTGTTAATATTATATTTCCTTTGGTTTATAGAGCTGACATCGATAGTGATGTTGATATTTTTCTGTCAATCAGTCATTGATACTAACATATTGATAATTGTTTCCAATTTATAGTACATTTTTATAGTTCCAATTAGTGCCTTTTGTAAAAAAGCAAGTCCCCGGGGTGTTAAATAGAGATGATACGGTATTTGAAAAATCAATAATTTAAATAAATTATGAAAATTCACCTGAATTACATAAAAAAAGCAGTTGGCCAAAGTATATTTTTTATTTTAATATTATGAAGTTATAATGATAATTAAACAAACATTCTACCTGAGATTATACTGCTCTGTCGTCCCTCTAATTCCAAAATGAAGGCAATTGTTCCACCAAACAGTGTTGAGTAATGCTGTTGGTGTCATGGCACCAAGTACACCTTTCATATACATTTGATCAACTTCTTTATCGGAGAGTGACGATGCAACTCGTGGTTTATTGCCTTTTCCCAACTTTTTTAGACATTTTTGTTTGGCCTTTAAGGCATCTCTTGTCAAAGAAAATTGTGGGCCATTTCCTCTCATTATTAGAAATGGATATTTATTTCTCTGCAGTTTTCGGTCAATACTACTGATAATGTTACGTAAAGAACTCGGTTCATATTCGGTACCATCTGCTTTCTTTATAGACAAAATAAAGTTTGCTAGATATGAGTCAAGTTGGTCAATGCTAATCTCATGTATCTCTCTTTTTTCACCTTTTGTTTCCAGAAATCTTCTGAACTTATTTATGTCAGTTAGAGTTTTTCTCATGGTATTTTTGTTATCTTGCTCTTCAATGAACTTGTTAACATCATTTGAGGATAAATTCAAAAATTCTGATGTTTCAGGAGGCTGTTCAGTTGAAGTTGGCAATTCAAGTTGGTTTGCAGCAACAGAGATGGACAACAAAGGAGCACTCTCAGACAGGCTGGTTTCAACAAGGCTAGGTGGTGGTGTTGGTTCCATTTCATCATCAAAATCAGTAATTTCCAGACTGTATTTATTCAGGAAATCATCAGGATCAATTTCTTCAACATGTTGTGTTTTAAGCTGATCCCAAATTAAGTCAAATGTGGTTTGACTCAAATAATCAGACATTTTTGACTGAATGAACTGCTCAGATTTTGGATTTTATCAGAATAGCAGAAGACAAGCTGATAAATTCTCTCCTTATTATTATTATTTTATTTAATTTAATAAAAGGACTAAAAAATTTTTAATTTATTTTAATTTATTAAAAAGTGTGAAGCAATACAACAAAATAAAAATATAACAGTAACAATTTTTTTTTGTATTTTTAATATGCTTTATTTTTATCGTATCAAGATAATGTAGTATCCAATGTAAACAGTAGACCGGAAATGACCCGAAAAAAGTAGTTCCGTCAAGGTCAAAATGTGTATTGATGAGGTGTCTGATAAAGCTTGGGGTGACTGATAAAGCTAGGTTTATCGGGCATGCACTTTATCAACAGAAATCAATGTAATGACATGATAAGAAGTATATAGCAGTCCATTATCAAAATTATTTCCGATGAGTTGACATAGTGTTGCTAGCTCTTCGTCCGCTTGAATAAAATAAAGAAATGTTTATCGCTAAAATATCTGAAAGGAAGTTTATTCTGATCTCTTATCAATATTCAAATATGACCTGCTTATAGTTGATTAGTTTAAAGGGGAAGGCAAATTCATAATTGGGTTGGTAGTTAGATAACGGAAAGAAGTCAATTTTCAAAATTGTAAATTGATCAAAATGTGTTGAAATAGACTCATGTGGTTATTTTTTCAACGGTGTCAAAATCTAATTTTACACAATCAGTCATGTCAAAGTATACCCGTATCAATCGATAAAGCTACACTCTTACATCCCGGCAGAGCCCGGTAGATGATCCGGGAACGACCGGGGTTCGACTGGGAACAAGCGGATTACATCCGTAACTCTGCCGGCAACGTCCGGGATGATCCGGGAACATCCGGCATTCGACCCCGGATGGAATTAAATATTTAATATCACTGGGATGGTCCGGGATGATCCGGTAAGTATAGCTTTGCCGGCTTCATCCTTAGCTCTGCCGGGAACGACATGGGTATACACCGGGGATGATCCGGGGCATGATTTAGCCGGTAGAGCTACGGTAGAGCCCCGGCGAATGCTGGCAGAGCCCCGGTGAAGGCCGGCAGAGCCCAGGTGAATGGCGATGGAGCTACGGTTGATCTCGGTAGATCTCCGGCAAAACCCGGTTCATTTCAAAAGAATCACGACAATTTGCGATGATTTCACTTGTTTGTATTAAAACCCTTCTCATTTCCCTTTTATCCAGTCTTGCATAAGGATTTTTCAGAAAATCATCATGAATTACTGTCCTGGAACAATAGATATCATACATGTATTAAATAAAAGTTATGTATCAATGTAATCATTTTCGCGCGTTTTCAATCCACCGGGGTTCTACCGGAACTCTGCTTGGATCGTCCTGGGCTCTGCCTGGATCGACCGGGGCTCTGCCTGGGTCAACCTGGGCTCTTCCGATGTCATCCGGGAACGACCGGGGAAGCACCGGCATGAACCGTAGCTTCACCTGGGCTCTGCCTGGATGGTCCGAAGCGCATCCTGGGTGGTCAAGTGGGAATTACCGTAGTGTTGCCGGGGTAAGTGTGACTGCAACAATAATTTCATCCCGGATCGTCCCGGATCATCCCAGTAACTTACCGGGGTGGTCCTGGGCTCAGCCGGGAGTAAGTGAGACCGCTGCTCGCCACTGGATTTAACATTTTCTCATTCCTTCAAAATGTAATTCGAAACAACATTTACGCTCGTCTAGGTAAGTTAAATATTCAGTAAAACAATTTCAAACAATAAATCAAACGAAGTAATATATACCTTATAAAAGAAATGAAATTGACATAGATTTTTGGGGCTGTGTCGCCATACCGTCTGCCCATGTTAATGCTGTACACATTTTACCTAAGTTTACGGTGTTAGAGGCGATAATTATCGCGTGTTACTAGCGAAATATTGTGAACGAAATAGGACACCAATATTCGATATATTTGAAAGGGTACTGGAGAAACGGACTGGGTATGACGAAATGTTACATACACTGTTACAAGTACGACTGTGTGGTGTATTCTATTAACGATTTTTACAGTTTTACCTCTTAATTGATTCGTATTTTCGTAATAATCTGCATTTGTTAATTTCCACATAATTTAAACAATGTTCTCGACAAGCATAAAACGTAGGACAATGCACTTGATATTGATATTTGTAGAAAGTTATTGAGCATATGATAGGCTATGTCTAGTTTGGATTTAGGAAAAGTTTCTCATTTAAATTTATAAAAGTAATACAGTGACTGATTTACGCCATGTTTTGTTTTTGCTTCTTTGTCTCCAAAATTTATTGTGTCATATTTTCGCCCTCCATCTGTCGTACTTTTGCTTTTTTTGCCTCGAAAATCCAAAAAAAAGCGAAAAACACGAACAGCTGACAAATTAAGTTCCACCTTTGTCGTCTTTTCGTGTTTTCGCGCTTTGTACATTTTAGGGCTAAGAATTCAAATTCTAATGATAATTGAAGCCCAAAATACCTCTCTACCCCTTTAGAAAGCTCTTTGTATTATTCAAAAATTGCTGCGTTACATCAATAGCCACCGAGTCAGCTACGCTCATTAGAGAAGTTTTAACTAAATTTGGTATTATACCCTCTGATACGAACGTCCCCCGTGTGCAGACGGTAACAATTTAAAATACAGGTCTTAATTATAACACTTTTTATGATGTTTTAGAAGCTATGTTTATACCTGTAATGGTTTATAAAATTTACCCTATGCAAAACAGTATGCTATTTTCATACATGTTTATTCTATTGAAACGTAATCAGTACATTCATGTGTTATCAACTCGTGGTGACGTTTTATCTCCCTTGTATTCCATATAATAATAACCTAGTTAAATTTAACTTCCTTGGTGATATTTTCGGAAAATATTTCTTTATGGCTTTCAAAATGTTAGACAATATTCGTCATGTTAAAGGATTTTAATTAGTTTTATTCAATAGGAAACATTTACGATATTGTAACAATACAAAACTTGATATTGGGATTTATTTAATGTCAATTTGGCAGTTTTTCATGTTCAGGCACGAATTAAATAATTAGTGTTTTGATTTTGTGCACAATAAACACTACGAAGTTAAAAGAGAATTACTGGTATATAACCATGAAATAATTATATGATTAATAACCAAATTCTTATTTGTTAGAATATGTGTTTAAAGAAAACATATTGGACATTTCGTTGATTAAATTTGAAATGGAAGTCTCTGGACGTAAGGAATCTTCTGTTAGATTATGCCAGCCATGTCAGCGTGACGGTGATACTGTACAAGCAGATGGCTATTGCGATAATTGTAACGAGTTTATATGCACATCATGCACAAAGGCACACCGGAAGTTGGCAACTACCAAACATCACGTGATCAAACCCAAAGATGAAATATCGACATATGAGAGTCAAAGTGACCCGTGCACTGAACTGTGTGATGTTCATGTAAACGAAATAGTAAAGTTTTATTGTCAAGAGCACGACAGCGTTGGTTGTGGAGATTGTATGGTACTTCAACATACATCTTGCAAGGTTCAGCTCGTTTCAGATGTATCTAGTAACTATGACAATAGTGTGGACCTCGTTTTAATTAAACATAGAATTGATAACCTGAAGAAAAACATTGCTTCATGCAAAGATAAAATAAAATGCAGTTTGAAAGAAGCGGATGAAATAAAGATTGAGGTCGTTAAAGAAATTAAGCTTTTTCGTAGAGAAATGGATGATTATCTAGACAAAATGGAAGCAGACCTTTTACAAAAAGTTAATGAAGTGAATGATAGAGATGTATCATCTCAGAAAAAGCTTCAAGATCAATGCGAGGCCTTATCGGATGAAATGAAAGAATTTCAAAGAAAGCTGGACCAGTGCAAAGACAAGATCAACAATTTGTTTGTGACATCTAAACGTGTACAGACGAAATTGGTAAAATGTCAAAAAAATAATGAAACCATTTCAGCCAAGAGTCAGATAAACACTTTAAATTTTAAAGTATCTGAAGATTTTGATACTTTGAAGAAACATAAAACACCCCTTGGCAGTGTTATAACACAAGTAAAAGCATTTTCGGGGCAATACAAGAAATGTATTAATGACGTGAAGGCACATTTTGTTAACAAAGTAAATTGCCAGGCAGAAAACGAAGGAAATTGTGGTATTACAGGAATCACAATTATATCTGAAGCTGAAATTCTGTTAGCAGACATCAACAACAAATCGTTAAAAGTTTTAAATTACAGAGATAATAAAATCACATCAACGTTGAAACTGTCAGATTATCCCTTTCAAATAACCACAATCAGTTCATCATCTGTTGCAATATGTTTACCAAATGAAGGCAAAATCTTGTTTGTGAATACGCAAAGTGGCTTGACTGAAAGTCACAGTCTGAATGTCGGGAAAGGATGTCAAGGTATACATCATCGCAATGGTATAATGGCAGTGGCCTTTACTAAACCTCCCGCTGTTCAAGTATTGAACATGGAAGGTCATATCCTTCATGAGGTTAGAGATACGAGCATATTAAAATATCCAGTATTTTTACATCTGAGTAACGCTAATGAATTTATGTTTGTGTCTGACAGAGACAACCGTGCCGTGTATAAATTTACACTCCAGGGAGAACTGATATCTCAAAATAAAACCGAGAATAATAATATACCAACAGGCTTAACAGTTACAAACTGTGGATGCGCTGTTGTTTGTTATTATAGAAAAGGTGATTGCCTTGAAGTTATTGTACCTGGATCGAGAGAGATTCTGCCTTTCAATGCGCGGCATGTATTGGATCCACTTTATATCAGCATTTCTGAAGAGCAAAATACAATGTTCATCAGTGAATTTCTGACCTCTGTGGATTGCAATTTCATTAAAATATTTAAACTAAAGTAACATTGAGGGCTGTGTCACAAAATAAATAAGCTTCTATAATTCAATTGTATGGCTTTTGTCCGTGCCAAAGGGAGATAAAGTTAACAGTGTTATATTTACAATACTATCGCCATGTTTATCTTTATTGAGACACTTTACAAAAAAAAGGAGGAAAAGATGTATAAGAATAGTCACGTAATAAATGTTTTGTAAAAAACACTTATAGCGTTAAATCAATGTTATAAATCATGTTGTTAATATACTGCACGGTTTTTTTTATAATTCTTACTTCATATTCTTTGTTAACAGTTATATCAGGAAAATACAAGACGTATAATGTGACTAAATTATGTCGAGTATTAAATTTTTAATTCAAATGTCTTTTTTTTTCTTTGAGAATTGCATGCCGTCAGCACAAATCCGCTTAAGTATTTTTTCTGTGATTAATTTTAAATAATTATATACTCGCCTTTTTTGAAATTTAGTATTTTTTATTTGGGTTAACAAACAAACATTTTAAACAATATATATTTAATAATTACAGTTTCGTCCTTGATATTTTATATTTTACAAAGGTGACATATCAAACAAAGCAAAAATTATTTTCAAATTCATTGTTACATTGAAGCATTCTGGTGTATTTTATAAATACGAAAGACCGGAAGGGTCATTTCAACTTCATGAATTCTCGATTTCATCTTCATGAATTCACAATTTTAACTTCCTGAATTCCCGTTTTCAACATAAGGAATTCACGATTTTAGCTTTATGAATTCCCGATTTCCGAATTCATGAAGTTGAAATCGTGAATTCGTGAAGTTGAAATCGTGAATTCATGAAGTTGAAATCGTGAATTCGTGAAGTTGAAATCGTGAATTCATGAAGTTGAAATCGTGAATTCATGAAGTTGAAATCGGGAATTTATGAAGTTGAAATCAGGAATTCATGAAGTTGAAATCGGGAATTCGTGAAGTTGAAATCAGGAATTCATGAAGATTAAATCGGGAATTCATGAAGTTGAAAAGTCTCAACCGGTCTTTCGTTATTTTAAATTAAGAATGTTACCACAATTTTTCTTACTTTATTTATTGCTGTGATTTTGATACGTTAAAACGCTTTCATTTGTATTCTTTGTATTATATCGGAATGAAAAATAAAAACACAAAAAACAACAAAACTACAAATATATGATTTTTGTTCCGTTTGATTGAAGAAGACCAAACCGGAAATACCCTATTTTGTATTTTGTGTCGATCCGTGTATCACAGGATAAAATATAACTCCTGTATTATATATTCCAGCAAATGACAGACGCTTAAACATGTACATGTATGTATTGGAAATGGTATGTAGCTCATCAGATCAGAACGTGATCTTGTATAACCGACGTAGATTATTTACATTCACTGACAAATGATGCTAAATTTATACGGTCAGCCATTTTGATGTAAGATTATTAAAGGTTTGTGTGCATTGTCGCATTATGAGGTTTATTCTACAGTTTTTACCGACATGGGGTTATACTTATACCAAATATACAACAATTACAAAATAAATTGCGAGGTTAAAATGTAATGATCGTAAATAATTATAGAATAACGCATATTACGCGCATAAGGTCTTGTAAGAACGTTTGTACGTACATGTTTGTATGTAACATTTCTTCATATTCACTTCGTTTCTTCAGAACCACTTCAATTACATGTATATCGAATATTATTCAACTTACGCAAAATGTTTACGACATAAACATATACAGACGGTATGGCAAAACCACGCCAGATATCTCTGTGAATATCGCTTATCGTGACTATAGTTTTTTTTAAGGTATCACCATATTTCATACATCGTAAAAATTGTTTTGTTGAATATTGAACTAAGACGCATGTCAGAGAAAATGTTGTCACGAGATACATTTTGAAGTCAATCTTCATTTTCAACCTCAACTCTTTATAATCATGCATGATTGTTGAAAAAAATAGATTATTTATACATTTGTAAGAAACGATTCGAAAATATGATTTTATAATATTTTTTGCTTACTTCCAAACATTTGGAAAGCTAAATGAATTAAAGTTCGTGTCATTTACAGTTTAATGTAATAAACATTTTAATAAATAATAACAGTTTCAAAGTCCAATGACCTACCTGTTATCATACGAAATAATTTTAATAATATCTTATCATACTTATGTAAACAGTTTTGATGATATCGGATGAGTCAATTACAGTGATTTATGAATGAACTGTTCTCAACTTTTCCCATTTGAAGTATAGTTTCTTAGATTAGAGAATATCTGCTGCTCGTGTAAAATATTTATTTTTTAACACACCGACCATTCGCGACATTTACTTTCTTATTATTTCTAATTTGTCTGTTCCATGCGAAAACCAGCATTAACATTTGCAGTTATATTAAATAATATAAACAAAGATAATATAGATACAGTTTATTTTGCAAAGCTAACGGGGTCTAAAATGCAATTACATGCGTATAATGAGATGACAAGGTTGAAACTATGAAAAACTGTTGGACAATTTTGAATTCAATCGCATTTTTTTTGAAATCATCAGAGTAAGTTTTGTAGGACGAATTGGAATTATTTTACGATGTAAGCAAACTAATGTAAAGGCTACTTTTTACTGTCTGTATAATTAATTTATCATTCACTATCATTTCATACTGCAGTTAATAATAATCTAGATTATTTGATTTGCTTTTTGGTCATTGGGTACGTATTGTTCCTATTCCTTCGTTCTGATTTGAATATTAAACTGTTAAATCGGTAGCATTGTTTGGGCGAAATTTATAGTGAAAGAAAGATGTTCTACTTGGCATAACATTCTCCGACTTTTAAAAAACAAGTTTTTAAATCGAATAGTTTAAAAACTTATTATTTCCCTTTTCAGCTTTGTTTTTGTCGAGAGCTCTACAACGGAAGTATCTAAATAAGAAAGAGCCAGCGTTTAGTATCTCCCTGGGTGTAATAAGTCTTTAATAAAATTGCTTTTTTTAGGATTTAAACCACATTTATGTGATATTAAATGCACGTGAAATTGTATAATCGAATCATCCTTAAATGATTAAATTCTCGGAGCTTTCGGGGGCTTCGCCCCCTGGGAGCTCAACGGGGCTCTGTCCTGGACATGCAAGGGGGCCTACGTGGCCCCCTTGACATCAGGGCGTATATTTAAAATTGCCCTAGCTACGCCCTGAAAATTGGTATTAAATTATCCCGTATGTTCTAATCTAGTTTAATTTAGTTAATAATATACTAGAAGAAAGATGCTAAAAAACAATATCAAGATATATGTACATTAAAATATACGTATAAAAGTAAAGATAAAATGATTATTTTTATGAAATATGCCAAAGCTATTTAACCAGTTGCTCATTACATAGGGCCAAATAAATACAGGTACATTGTATATGGTTTTGTATTGCATAAAGATCAAATTAAATGTGTTTTATAAGACATGCTAAATACGTTCTGTGAAGCTTTCTGTGGGTAAAGAAATGGAAATGTTTAAGTTTATGCGTTGTCAAAGAAAAAATAACCTTTTGCGAACGTCGATTTCGTAATAATATTTAATTTTAAAATACAAATCTTTGTCCATATCAATTTAAGTTGTATTGTTTGTAAACATAGCTGAACGCTTCAATTAGTATCCAAAAAAGTCTTCCACGAAAGAGGTTACGCAGCTGGTGACGCAGCAAAACTACACAAGGATGCCTGACACAGTATACCCACAGTATACCCGTCACTTAGTTGCAGTTTTGCACGAATCCTAACGAGGGTTTTCCGTTTTCTCAGCGTGTAACAACTTTTTTAAATAATCGTAACATTTGATAGTTTATATTAACGTTCATCAGTTCGCTAACAGTGCAATATTTCCGACGTTTTCGACGACCGGATGTTTATCATAATGTTATGCTAAACACAACGGCTCAAGCAGATGCATGAGCTAGTTTCTCGTTCGTATACCACCTGCATTTCACGACTGTGAAAAGAACATTTTGTTCTGATGGCCGCTACACTCCGTCACGTTTCCTTTTACCGGCATGTCATCAGCTAACATAAACTGCAATTAAATACACAGAAGAGATGTGGCCAAATTTTCCATGCATTCAAATCTGTCAAAAACGTGTTCACAAAAGTTCAACTAAAATGATAACCTTACGTTTATGTCATTGCTGAACGTAACGTTAATATGTCCGCTGTTTTTAGATCTTGGTCTACATCTGGGTTGATCAAAAGTTAGTTGTCGAACGCAAGCCCATGATGTTTATTCGGACATCCTGAAACGTTCGTAAGTTTTTTGTGTGTGTGAAGTTCTGCAAAAGTCATTTTCAGAAGCGCAGTTTTACTAACATTATATGCCCTTTATAGACATAAATCTTGTTCAAACTAAAGCGTTGATCAAGATTTGCAACAACAAAAGTTAAAACAGAGTTGTTGCACTGCTGTACTTGAATTTAGAACGATTAATTCTTATAATGAAGAAATGCAGTTAAGCAACACACATACTGGAGAAATGTACGGGCTGGCCTGACTTTGTGCTAATGGTATAAACAAGATAGTGTTATTTCTCGATTGCAGATAGATTCATCTTTTATAAGGAAAAAGTCCGAACACATTAAACAGTACTGAGTTCACTTAAGTCCAGACACATAAAACAGTACTTAAATATCTATGAAATAAAATATTTTAACCTTTCTTTCAGGTAGATGTCAATATGAAAGGTAAATATACGTAGCAAATATTGAAATTTATTTTGCACCTTTGGTAAATAGTTAACGCATGTTCAATTCAAACCCTAAAGTGTTTAAAAGGTAAAAGTAATCAATAATTTCGAAATACATTATAAGTAATCAATAGCTGACGAATTACATGATAAAAAATCAATCGTTGACAAATTACATGATTAGTAATCAATAGCTGACGCATTGCATCATAAGTAATCAAAAGCTGACGCATTGCATTATAAGTAATCAATAGCTGACGAATTGCATGATAAGT